CATTATCTATTGTACAGTATCTGTTGTACATTATCTGTTGTGCATTATCTGTTGTACATTATCTGTTGTACATTATCTGGGGAGAAATGGAAAAACCCAGCCCATACAACATAAAGCATTGAAAACTTTAAATGACCCCACATACAAAAAAAAATCCTTAAATGAAAAAAAAAAACAACACGCACACACACATGTGCACACTACAATATGACATTTACGCACATCATAAACATGTATAATTCTAAAAAGAAAACTGTGTTAGTTTGAGCATGGGCATAGCCAGGGGGGGGGGGGGGGATAGGAATTTAGTGACTGATTTTTTGCTTTGATTTTGTTTATTTTAGGTGAGATTTTAATACTAAACCATCACTTTACCCCAGCACAACCAAAGTGGTTTTGAGTTTAAAACCCCTTACCAGGGGGTTTTGAGTTTAAAACCCCCTACCAGGGGGGTTCGAGTTTAAAACCCCTACCAGGGGGTTTGAGTTTCAAAGTCAGTTTTGAGTTTTAAACCCCCTACCTGGGGTTTTTGCAGTTAACTCCACCTCTTCTATAAAACAAAACAAAAAACAATGCAAACGAAAATCCCCAAATTCCAAGAGCACAGTTAAGGAAGATTTTGATTTTAAAACCCCCTCTAAAATTTATAATAAGCCCTCTCTTCAATATATAAAAAAAAAAAAGCTAAAATAACGCACTCAAAGGCTATGAGCGTTGCCAAAAGGGGTTTTGAGTTTAAACCCCCATTCAGAGGGGTTTGATGCTAAAAATACATCTTCAATATAAAAAAAAAAGCAAATTACACACTAAAATTATTTGAGCGTAGCCAATCCAATCGGGGGTTTTGAGTTTACCCCTCTTCTAGAGATGGCTTTTTTAAAAGTTTAAAACCCCTCCAGATGGTTTTGAGTTTAAGATCCCCCTACAGAGCATTTTGAGGTGGAAAACCCCCAACAGATGATTTTGACGATAAAACTTCTCTTTTCGATATAAAATCTAAAGCAAACTACTGTCACTTAATTCCAAGAGCGTATTCAAGAGAGGTTACACATTTTTACCAGTGGCAGGGCTCCATTAATAAACTCCAATGAATAGTCAGTCACCTGCCGAAATTGAAAAACACTAAATGTGGCTCAACAAAGATGGCTAAGACAGATTTTAGGAGTCAGTTATAGAGATGGGGTCTAAATCAAAGAAATCCTATGCCGAACTGGGAGTCGACCCCTTAGTAAGATTGTGAGAGAGCGACGCATGAGGTTTGCGGGACATGTTCTCCGACAAAATGAATTACGCATAAAAAGAGTTGCAATGATATCCTAGTACAACTTGACGCCACTCATTCATGGAGGTCCTCATGGCAGGTGGGAAGAGGCTTCAGACATTACCAGTGACAGATTTTTATGGAAACAGCTTGACGGCAAATGCACCGAACGGCGCGGGAGGGTCTAAGTAAGAAAGAATAGCAAATTAGGTTTTTGAAATAAAAATTTTTAATAGAAGGAAAATGCAGTGTAGATACATCAGAATATGCATTTTGTTGGCTTTCAATACCAGAAATAATGCTTGGCGGCGGGGCTTCGCCCCGCGCTGGGGGAACTCCTAGCGCTTTCCCAGACTCCCCCATGCTAGTAATGTCGGGGAGTCTACAATTTTATGGAAACAGCTTGAAGGCAAATGCGCCGAACGGCGCGGGAGGATCTAAGTCAGTAAGAATAGCACATTAGGTTTTTGAAATATAACTTTTTAATAGCAGGAAAATGCACGGTAGATACCTCAGAATATGCATTTTGTTGGCTTTCAATATCAGAAATAGTGCTTGGCGGTGGGGTTTCGCCCCGCGCTGGGGGAGCTCCTAGCGCTCCCCCAGACCCCATTGCTAATAATGGTGGGGAATCTACAATTTTTCCACTAACTCATGGAAGAACCTATTCTAGGGCACAATAAACGTCTTCCGAAAGAATGAAGGGTCAGAATGTAATAAAGATTATGCACACACACACACACACACAAATACATTTTTTTCGCGGGGGGAAGACCCCCCCTCCCCGAAAAAAATCCTGGCTACGCCCATGAGTCTGAGAGACTCAACAAATTAACTCCCTTGTGTCTTACTCATGATCAGGAAGCTTATTGTTCTTTTACTCGACGTCAAAACACAAGTCGAAGAAGAAAATAGTCGATAAAAAGTAAAGAAGTGGTCAAGTTGAACCGGATAAAACAATTTAGTGGGGGAAAAGTACATCCTTTAAGCACATCTAAATCCTGTAGTTCTCCACGCCTTGGCCGCAGTGACGCGCCGAGGATGCTAGGCGCCCCGGGCTACCAGGCCTGACTGACAGTTCTGACTTTAGAAAGTCGAAAAAAATCAATATGGCGGAGGTATTTTGAAAAGTCTTCTTCAAAAAGTTTTTAGTCAATTTTGTTGCAGTCGCTCTGGCGAAAACGTTTACATTTTAAAAATTCTACTTCAATTTAAGAGGATGAAACGACGCCTCTTAGTTAAAATATTTTAATTTTTAAAACATCGGTAATAATGGCATTTGACTTGGTTAACATTCAAAGATCAGGTTGAGAAAGACTGGTTTACGTCATCCATTCTTACATTAACAAAATCATTCACCAGTAAGCAATACAACACGTACAAGTACAATGTAAACAATGACAAAGAACGACTACTCCTGTAGCGACAGTCACATTTTCTTACTGTTACTTTTCGTGATTTTTCACTGGAAACATTGTCAATCATCACATGTAATTGTTTCGACCAGATCCTTCTCTATGCCAATGTGTAGTCCGACAACGCTCATGTCTAATGGCAGCTTTCAAATATGTGAAATAATTTTGGGTTGATACTTAATGTAGTACTATGATATCCATTTTGGTGTTCTCTACACCCCGAGCACGTGGTGTCTACCGTCTTCACCCTCCCTTCGTTACGCCACCCCTAGATGTGTTCTAGTCACAAATCCTAAGTTATCTATAGAAAAAGTACATCACAATTACAATCAATTAGTTGAAAAGAAAAAAAAATACGAACTTTTAGGCGCTCTTTTATAAACTCAATCGGAGAAGTTGCCATTTTAGAAAACCATTGGAAGAAATCACTACAAGTTAACTTATACAGATAAGAAACATTGTAAATGGGGGACATATTGCTGTAGGAGAGAGTATGCTAGATGTAGAGACAAATAAAAGGGAGGTAATCTAACTATCCACATATGGTTGGTTCCTTATAGTTAATCATTTACATAAAAGTTACAAAGTGATTGTTAAATTATCATAACTCATAGAAGAGAGCACCTGGCTGCATGCGGCTTCAGAACGAGATAGCTGGGGGTCACTTACTAAGGCCGCGGGATACACATTTGAGACCAAAAGAAAATCCGCTGCCGAGGACAGAAGCAGACGGCGAAAAGAAAATCTTAATCGACCACCGGCGGACAACGGTTATGCTTGCCCTTGATGTGACAAAATAAGTAGGTCGCAGCTGGGGCTGCGTATCAACGGAAAATACTGCACTTCTCATCAATCTTCTGACTAGAAGACAAGCCTTTATTATTAGTATATCTCATATTTAAAAATTGAAAAAAAAAATCCTAACTAATTGAATAAGTTGTGTGAATTACAAAAGTATACTTTTTTTTTTTAATCCCCAGAAAATATTTCCTCTTATAATTATTTTGACAGGGAAATGAGAGGCGCCGGCGACAATCACAACCTCCCATCAAACTCTTTGCGAGCTCTGTATCGACGTGAACAATTGAATGCATCAAGGAATTCATTCTCATTCAACGCCCAGTAATCACGCACAAGTTTTGAGTTTCACATTTAAAACAATTTGATGGTCAAGTGCGACTATCATTAATATCATGCTTAGTTAATGACTTAGTATGGATAGTGTATCATGCTTAGTTAATGACTTAGTATGGATAGTGCGTTCTCTGAAATCAATTCACTGTCAGCACGACGTAATTTCGAAATATGTTAGGTCTAGTCTGACAACATAGCGACACACTTGACACACCTATCGCTTGTTGTTCGGGGAAGGGGGATGTGATATAGACATATATACATCAAAGTTATATATAGACATATATACATCAAAGTCTGGTGTGAATGTACACTTTGGTTTCTTATAGTTATAATGTTTCTTGTTTGGTGTAATGCACAAATTGTAAGACAAATTTCCATACGGACAATAAAGAGTATTATGATTATAAAAGAACGAGCATTCATTCTCTGGCGCTGCCAGGGTCGAGTTTCGTTAGAGGGAAACAAAATTCATCGTAGTCCCTTTATCAGTTTCCACCGAGGAATTTTCTGGTGATGTGGAAGGTGTGCAGAAGTACCGCCCTCTGACAGGCAACGAGAATGTTCCTAGAAATGCCAAGGGCCTTGAAGGTATCTGTGAGGTCAGTTGTTATTATTCCCTCGGTTGATGTGACAATGGGGTGTATTGTTATTATTATTATTATTATCAAATTTATATATTTATATTTAAATATTTATATATAAAGGAAGACGGTGTTAAAGAGATGCCTTCAGAAACGCCAGATCATCACAGACGCCCGCTTATATTAACTGCCATAGATAAGTCCACCTGGCCCAAAATGTCGTCTGAAAAGAGACAGCCGGGCATCTCTTACAAAGGCCAGCAGTTAAACATTTAATACCAAACGGAAAGTTACCACGAAAGACAGGCGTAGACGTCCATATGACGAATCATTCTCAGCTGGTGCAATCGGTGACCTCCTTTACCCACGATAATCTCTGCTACTTATAGCGTCACTATCGATGTCACTTCTGGACGACGCCTTTAAACCAAAAGAAACAAATCCTTGAGTGAATCGGCGTCGTCTTAACCAAATCTATTGTCTAGATTTTGACCAAGAAGTTAAGTCGAGTGACTCCGACAACGTCATAAGACAGCGTTCATCAGGGCTTTACAATGTCTTCTCAATCTGCTCCTCACTACCAGGAAGTACATCTCAGTCATGTGACCCCAATCACACAAGAGACACTTGACAGAGCCCAGGCCTCTAGTAACCACGCCATTAGTTTAAACACTTTGAACAAACGGTTTGTTTTGAAATTGAGTTGCTATTTGCACTGTTGTGGGATATTTCTAAATTGTTTATTTTTTGTTCTTGATCTTCGCGGCAATGGATCTACGATGATTGTGTGTTGAACAACATCGACTTGAGGATATTTCAGAGTATTGTGTTTTAACTGTAATACAATTTTTTTTGTTTAGAAAAGCAACGTAGTTCGTGTCAAAGCAGAGCCTTCTGTCTTGGATAATCTGGTATTTAAAGGAGATTTTCGACTCACTTCAGTGTGTTTATAGAGTTTATCTCTCAGAAAGTGCTTAGCACTAAATACAATCAGAACCGCTAAAGTTCAGACTAATAAAATATAGTTATTCACATAGGCTAGTGTGTTGGGAATTCCAAAGATTATCGAAAGTGAATAATCTTCTTTTTTTTTCAGGCCAACGACCAAATGTCTTATTGAGTGAATTTATTTTTCTCACCAAATGGCTGCCTCCATTATAATATGTTTGGCAATGTCCATAAATGATTCGAATTCATCATGGCCTCCTGGTAAATCCTTTTTGTTTTATTCAAATATCTCTGTGTCTTGGCATGGCGTGGTGGGTCCATTGCCATAAGTTAAACTTTAGAAGAAAAGAGTCTTCGCAGCATAAAATGTGTTCGAAATCGTTCAAATTAACCGTTACATTGTTATAGAATAAACAACAACAACAACGGATTCGAACGTGTAGCATAGGACTCTCCTTCACTTAGTCTGTTGAACAGTTGGGGCACCACACATAGGACTCATCTTCACTTAGTCTGTTGAACCGTGGGGCACCACACATAGGATTCGCCTTCACTTAGTCTGTCGAACCACTGGGGCACCACACATAGGAATCGCCTTCACTTTTTTTGAACCGTTGGGGCACCACACATAGAACAAAACACTATACCGAAGAGAGCCCAATTAAAACATGCATGCTATGCAGCCCCCTGCGGGTCAGTCGCAAGTCCAAATATATATACGTGTGCGCACGTAACACAAACTGCCCTTGATATCTTGCTAACAAATGTTTGTAGGACACACAACACGTTAGTAAAGACAACGATGCACGTCTAAGAAAGACCATGAGTAGTTATTGCCCTAGAAACTCACGTTTTTCTATATTCATTTCATTCAAAAATTCCTCCTATCAGCTTGCAAACTTTTTGTGAATTCAAGAATCAAAAAGTTGGACACTGGGTTGGCGAGTATTTCAAAAATGGCTCTTACCATTTTTCTAGACATTTGACAGTTTATGCAAATCTTTGGGGGAAAAAATCTACCTAATAGACCACAAAGTGAAAACTCTGGTTTGACCGTTATAAAAAAAATAACAACAAAAAAAACAAACAAACAATTAGCTTAAAATTAAATAAGGCTTATGTCTTTTTATTTTGCACATGGCTTCAGCGGGAATTCCCGCATTTGACTCAAATGTTTGTCTGTATTTAGTATGAGGTTGAATAAATAAATAGACGTACACGAACATTTTGCGCACCGTCTTGTGTACCAACATTAGCAGGACTGTTAATAGAAGAATTGGATTGTGCAAAGTGAACTGAAAAGATTACTTGCAATAATGTAGAATAATAGATTAAGAAATTATATAGGCTACCAGCATCAGATTTATAAAGGAGGAATGGATTTAAAAACAAAACAACTTTTTTTTTAAGTCACTTGTTTGATTTCAGTACAGGGCCGCGAAAATTAAAATTAAATTATTAAGTAAAGTAGTAAAGTTCCCCTTTCAGACCTTGTGGTCTATAGGGCAGATAATGTAAAGGTCATCTGTGTCTGTGTGCTACGGTAAACGAGGGTGTCATGTGGCCAGCACAACGACCAACCGCCTTTACTTTTCCCCAACTAATGTCAGGTACCCATCAGAATCAGAGGCGCATGAAGATCCCGAAATTAAAAACCACAGTCTTCACCAGGTTTCGAACCTCGGACTGCGGTTCGGAAGCCAAAACCACTCAGCCACCATACTACAATACTTCTTTAAATACAGAAAATATAAAGACATACGCCTAATATTATTTGTGTTGGTCATAGCTGTCGATCTATTACACAACGAGTGAAAGGAAAATGACTCGTGGAAGCTTAATAGGCGTTGTGTTTACAATGAAAACTACAATCCCAAGTGGACTCGTTTTTATAGCTGACGCCCAGATGACACTTCCGTTTTACTTGTAACGTTATGCAGTCTTCGGCAAAGCGTTATTGAACGAGTAACAAACAGAAAAACCCAGAAGCTTGGTATAAAACTGTTATGTTTCGCAGGCTCAACAAAAAAAAAAAAAATTTTTTTTGTTATCATTAGCTGCAACACGGTACTTTTAAATGTACACAATGTTAAGTAAGTGGATACGGCGGGGTGGCCGAAAGTATAACAAAATAACTCTTGGTTGCTACTTCAAGGGTACTCAAATTGAAGCTCTGTTTACATTGATATCCTTTTATATGGCGATCTATATACTGTTGTGCGGAGTTCATGGTTCAAAGGCCGTCTTCGGGAGACTTTACAGACAAGTCTGGTCATCAAGACTACAGCTCTACAGTGTTATGTTTCTTATGTCACTATTGTAGGCCTCGCATTTCTCCATCAAAATTACTGGCGCTCATCCACACACACACACACATCTCCTTTAAGAAGTTCGTGTTAGCTAGCAACTTTTATGTGACATTTTTTATAGTATATATTGAGTAGGTCCCTACAGCTGACTCACAGGGGTCGCCCAAGAGTTAGTGTATAAAAGAAACTCAATTTATAAACGAGGGTGAATGGAGTGTTAAATAGCATTACATACTTGAGATAGCTTTCTTTTCATTTGTTCTCACATTACTTGCACTACAACTCTATTATTGTCCATCACATAAATATATAACTGAAGTTTTGTCTTGACAGGGTGCAAAGATCTTCGAATGACTTTGACACCGTGGAAAGGTTTCTAGGGCTGTTCCATTTCTTTCAGTCTCTTTGGGCGCCCCTGCGGAAATGTCCATAATGAGGAAATGTCCATAGAGAGGAAACTGATAAGCTAAGAAAGAGAGTGAATATGACATCCTATGGGCTTCTACATAAGCGATAACGTTGCACTTAAGAAAGTAAGACTCGCTAAGATCACATCCTGTATCTCCTCACGTGAATCGAGCGCAGTTTAGATTGTCAAGACTAAAAAAAAAATCAGCATCTAGTTAAAAAGTTGTGGGTTTTTTTTCGGACAAGGAGATCGAGAAGCCTAATGTTCGTCACTTTGCGAAAACCTTTCCGTTGATCTAGACTCTCAAGCTTCAGCCTTTTGTGTAGACTAATGAGATACACGTATCAAATGTGCCAGTCATGTAATTACATTTTTAATAGATCTAGAATCTAGACTAACAATAAAAAAATATAAAAAAAATTAAAAAAAAAATTTGTTAATTTTTACATTGATTCTTGTGTTGTCAGGTAAAAGAAATAATTGTGCAAAATTTCAGCTTGCTCCGAGTTTGGGTGTTGGAGAAATAACGTGTACAAGCATTTTACCAGACAGACAGACAGAGTGAGTTGATAGAAGCTTTGTAAAAACACTTCCACATATGGTTCAACAAGTATTTTTACCTCTTTGCAGAATGCGGACAAAGTACATGGTTCATCTCTAAAGTGTGGCAATTTACAGAAGACCAGTCTGACGTCAGGGTGTGGGATTTAGAAAAAGTGTCCAAGTACATGAACGTGAGTGTGACAACTGGACAAGGTGTGTGTGCACAGTAAGTAACTAGAGGTAGAGATGGTACCGAGGGAGAAACAACGAGAGAGAGAGAAAATAGTAAGTAGAAACAAACAGAAAGTGAGACAGTGAGGAAGAATTAGAGAGAGGGTGAGGTAGGACTAGAAAACGAGATAAAGAAATAGAGAAGAGGAAGAGGGGAGAGTGAGAAAAAAGATAAAGAGCCCTCTCTCAACTTGAAAAACAACATAAAGAGTTTATATAATCCTAACAAAACCCTTTAAAGTAAAGTTCTCCCAACGGTTAACGAGCAGGGTGTCATGTGGTCAGCAGAACGACCAACTTTATTTTACTTTACTTTCCCTAACTAAAGTAAAGTACCCATTAGAGTTGTGTGGAAAAATTCCCGATATTTTAAAAGGCCACTCTTCACCGAGATTCGAACCCAGAACCCCCAGGTTCGAAAGCTAAACGCTTAACCACTCAGCCATCGCGCGCCCTAGTAGGACCACACTTAAAAAAACGATGGAATAAATGACATTTAAATATGATGCCAACATGCATGTAGAGTTGTCCTACTGTGATATGTGAATCAATTTTAAATTGACTGATCCTGGGACAATGAGAAAGAGATCAATTAGTTTCCTCCATGTCTGACGGATCTGCGTAATAATCTTCAGACCTATATCCATTCTTTAAGTGAAATTTCGAATTTTTTTTAATGCATGGTTATGGTAGTAATGAATGTTTTGGACACAAATTTAGATCTAGATCAAGATTTGACTTTTACGGTGAGTTCACTGCACTGGTGGATCCAGGGGGCGACCCCCCCCCCGGGGCGGACGAATTTTAAATTAGAATTCACACAATTTGTATACGAATTTATTTCATATGTTAATAATATATACTAATTATTTATATTTTTAACATATTTTTAGATTATTTCGCCCCCCCTCTAGTATGTTGGCCGATTAGGTGGGGTCTGGAGGGGTGATGGCATCAATCCGCCCCCCCCCCCCCACAATAAACTTTTGAGTGGGGAGGGCGGTCCAATTTATTTGTAGAAATCACAGCTTGCTAACAAAATCAATTAAACATCTTTATGATTAAAACTTGTTATTGATATTTTAACCGATCTTTATATTATGTCGTTCCCCCTGTTGGCCGATTGAGGGGGGGGGGGGGCGAATACCTCTACTGCCCTTCCCACCTAAACCCTTTGAGTGGGGGGGGGGGCGGTCCTACTTTTATGGACAAATCATAGTTTGTGAACAAACTCCCCTTCTGGTATTTTGGCCGATTCGGTGGGGTAGGGAGGTATGCGATTGCCTGTACTGGTCTCCCCACTCTAGCCCTCTTAGTTGGGGGGGGTGGCGGTCCTATTTTTATGGCGAAATCATAGGTTGTGAACACAATTAGTTGAATATGTATATAATATAAACTACGTATTGATATGTGA